CTTGATTTGACGAGTACAGATTGTACAAATGGCTGGTAGTCTCCATTTTCCTATATGGATGTGAAACGTGGATACTGTTGGCAGAAGCAGAGAGAAGGATCCAAGCGTTTGAAAAATAAACTCCTTTGCATCTTCTATTGGGAACATAAAACCAATGAGTTTGTGCGGAAAAGAGTTAAAAGGAATCTCTTCCCGCCACTGTCAAACGGAGAAAAAGTGGCTTTGTTTGGACACGTTAAAGGGCACGCCGGATCGTGCAAGACCATCATGCAAGGCGCCGTTGAAGGTGGACGTAGGAGAGGACGCCAACACAAAAAAACTGGCTGGACAATGTCAAACAATGGACAGGTATGACTATACCAGAACTGATGATGGCTGCCGTTGACAGACCGTTGAGGAGAATTTTCAATATGGCTTCTGCATTCGGATCGCCTCTACGATTACAAAAGTCAAGGGGATGATGAGGAGGAGGATATGACGAGGCTATTGGACGTCATCCATATGAGTTTTGATCTAAGGACGCTATTTGTCTTTATGTGATGAGGTTATTAGACATCACAATTCTCTATATACAACGCGTGAAAGCACATGCGAGACCCAGCCCTTGTCAGTCGCCAACCAGAAGAGGTAACAGTTTCGGTGGCTAAGGTGGTACTGCCACCCCTGGCGCCACCAGCAGCTTTTGCCATCGGACAGGATATTGTTTTTGCATATGTGTCAGCCAATCTCTTGCGATTTCTTTTTAAAACTGCAACTGAAATTTTCAACGTTGTGCTAAAATACACAACGCGTTTGTAACAACCGTTATTAATGACGTCGAATAGACGGCAAGCAGATGTGTTTCACGTTGGAAGTAGTATTGTGTTGCGAGCATGGTTTTATTTATTATTCTGAATCTTGACCAAATCCAACTCGATGCCTGTTAAGCTGTGGTCTGGAGACGATGTGAAGCACACTTTAGGTTCTGTAATCCAAATCTCATATTAATCTGACGGCGATATTGAACGTCATTTATATATGAGTTTTGATCTGACGAAGTTAATTGTTGTGTGGAGATATGTGTATATAAACCTATGTTTTTTCAACTTGAAACTAGAGTTAAATTTTCGCGGCACACATAAATTATGATGATCAACAAAGAGTTTAAACAAGAGTATACTTTCTATGATTTATTTATTAAAAAAATAAAACAATCCATTATAATCTATAATAAAAAGATAATTAAAATTCTTAAAAAAAACATATTTTTTTATCATTTCACCCCAAGCAAGGTAATAACGCCACTAAGACGCAAGGGTGTTATCGAATATGAGAAAAATACTATTAAGGAGAGAGAACAATAAAAGAACAAGTATTAAGAAGACAGAAGATAACGATTGACATCGTCCTGGGTATGACGATAAACTGCATCCGCGTCCCGGGTAAGACGATAAACTACATCCAACAGCAAGGCCTCTGATCAGGAGGTTTTACTGATGTTCCCAGGTCCACCTTGACCCGGGGTCGTAGCACCTGTTAAAGTCCCAGCTATAGGCAAATAGTTAACACCAAAACTGGAGTCAAAACACTATGAAAATGTAAAAATAGGTTTAATACCAGAAATACTTTGTAAAAAATTATTACCAGCAATAAATTTTTGAAAAAAAAAAATTACCAGCAGTACATTTTTGGAAAAAAATATTACCAGCACTAGATGTCTAGAAAAAAATATTACCAGCGATGCATTTCTTAAGGAAAAATATTACCAGATTTTTGAAAAAACAAAATATTACCAGCAATAAAAATTTTGTCGGCATTAAATAACCCATTGAGGTGTTGATATGCCGTAAAACATAACAAACCAAGCCAAACCAAACCAAACGATTGACATTGCACTTAAATTTTTGAAGATCAAAATTGGATGGAAAACATGGGGACCTTGCCGTTAATCTAGTACTGCTCTAAAATTCGTAAAGTCTAGCGTAGAGCTTCCCCGAACAATTAACATGAAAGTATTTATAGATAAGGCACAGGGAAGCAAATTTAATCTGATTTTTGGTAATTTTTCATTCTGAGAAGGTTAGAATTGTTGCGAGGCAAGCTAAAAAAATTTTGATTTAAAATTTATAATTTCTTGGGGTTAATTAAAATTTGCGATAATTAACTTTACATTATTTGGGGTGAATTAACAAAAAAGACCCAAGAACGCAATTATCGCGTGTTTCATATCTTGAAGCCAAAGATTTATTACTGATACAGTAATTGTGGCACAAGGCCAAAAAAGAGGGGCGATGGTCAAGGTTGGTAATCACTAGCTATCGGATTTACGACCAATTCATTCTTTACAATATACTCATTCAGCATAAGAATGTATCCGTAACCATTCACCCCTTCATGCACCAAAATACCTTACACACACTTGGCAACTACTAAGGAAAAAAAAAAAAAAAACACCATGAGTTAAAAATCACAATATGTACAATTCACATCTAGAAGCCAAGAGGAGAAAGAGAATCATTATGTCCTTTCCGGAAGTGGGGTCATAACATTGCATATGTGAGCAGAAACCTTTTCCGTTTTCTTTATAACTTAATTAATTTATTTATCTTTATTATTCATTATTATTCTTTTATTTATTGGTTTTATTTCATTTTCACCACATGTTTTATTGCGGGAACATTCATCCATGTTTGCCATTTTTAGTTTCAGATGTTTAAAAAGTAAATAATTCTGCGACTGTATTCAAGTCAACAGCATCAATTCAATAACGCTTTATCAATCCAGACTTTTTTGTTGCGTTTCCTTAGTCTTATAAATTTTAAAATCAGAATAATAGAAAAAGATTTCATTGAATGCAATTAAATATTAAAAATGTTAGGGTATCAAACAGGTCGTGCGCGTGTGTATGTGTATGTGTGCATGTGCTCGCGAACACACTCTCGGCAGCGAGAGTGGAATGAATAATACCCAAAGCTCGAAATAACGGCTCAACAGCTTTTATTTCTGGTTGAAAGTGCTAAATAGTAGTATTTTGAGGGGGGGGGGTCCCAGTTAACAAAGTTCTTGAGTAATTGTTTTTGTTGAGAGAGATTTCTCCGCTAGTTCCCACGGGAGGAACGAGAAATTTGAGTGTGAAACTGCTAGGACTGGCTTTGTGTTCTACAGAAAGTGTTTTGTGTAGTTTTCCTTTGGTGGGTAACTCAAAGGGAGATTTCTCTGTCTAACGAGAAATCTAACCTCAAGCTGCTAAGAGAGGCCTCGTCTTCTTAAGCGAGGGTTACGTGTAGGCCTTCCGTAGGTGTCTCCAAGAGAGAGACCGCTGAAAGTGAGAAAATAGAGCTAGCCGTGAGATAGAGGCCGTTGAACAGGAAGGTGGCAATGAGCGAGGCAGCTGGCCGTGAATGTAGAGGCAGCTGAAATTGAAGAGTGGGAAAGAAACCGAACAGATGTTTATGACGTCTGGGACTTCCAGTTGTGCACTGCTGATTATTTTCGCTGCGGCTGTTGCTAAATCGTGCAAAGTAAGGAAGCCCGCACATGCCACAATAACCAACAAATGAGATAGTTTTTTATAAGAAAAGAAGATGAAAAAGAAACTGAAAAGGTCTTGGTCAAGGCTTTTATGACGTCTGGGATTTCCGATTGTACCCTGCTGATTATTTCCGCTGCTGCTGCTGAATCGAGCAAAATAAGGAAGCCCGCACATGCCACAATAGCCAACAAATGAGATAGTTTCTATAAGGTAAGCAAATGAGAAAAAATTAAAAAAAAGCAATGAAATAAACCCAGAAGTATCATTTCATTAGTTTTTAATTGTTGTTTTTTATAAAATTTTAAAATGTACCTAATGTAGCATAAAAGAAATAAAATTAATTCCACTAATTTTCATAAAAGCTTATAAAACAAAATAAAAATTTATAAACTACTGGTTATTTAGATAATCTATTTTTTAAACACAAATAATGCCAATTCTAGATTGTAGTCCTTTTGATCCTTCGTACTTTTAAAGTTTTTACACGCGTTTTGGGAGTAACAGTAGAAAACTATTGTTGTTGACCTATGAGAGGTTATGGGATACTGTGTGTAAATAAATGTTATTTTTGTTGTGTTTCAAGCAAAAAGTAAGCATTATTGTTTTTGTAAAACTTAGTTATCTTTTTAAAATAAATTTACTAATTTATTTTGAAAAATCTCTTGGACAAATAATTGGTTATTAAAGAGATTTTTAAATTTATTTAATTGATTCCATTTTCCGTCTATAATGGATGTTCGTTGATGAGAAACCGTGCCTATGTTGTAAAAATACTACAAATTTTATTAAATTTACAATTAAAAATGATTTTTTTACGTATGTAAATTTTAAAAATTTACATACGTAAATTAATTTTTTTTTTTTTTATTTCATACGTATGTTTTATCAAAACTAAACTTCAAAGAAGATATTTAATAAATTAGTCAAAGATGCATTTGCAAAAAGTTTTTGTAACAGTAATGTAATTTATTTTTGAATGATGAAATAGGTAAAAAAATAAACGTGTGTGCGCGTGAACGTTTACTTATTTTCGGAACAAATTGGAGAATCTCCATATTTAACATTACACCGCCTCATTATTCAAGGGAGATAATTTCAATAACAAGACGTGATTTCAACACTGACATTTCCTGTATTCTGTTGACACTAGTGAGCATTGTGATACATATCTACGAAAGATGAAGGAACATTTACACTAAAATATGCAATTGCATATCAGGCGCTTATCAATATCTTGGGACATTTGGCGCTCTGGTTTTTGTCTCTGATAACATTAACAATTGATTTGAGACTGAGTAGCAGGAAGCGAATTAAAAAAGGGGCGTTCTCTCACATTCTTTTATATACTCATTATTATTGTGCTAACTCGGACATTTAGATTTACATAAAACGACAAAAACAAAGAAAATACACGACGGCTTCTCCTAACATTCTGGAACTCCCCACTATCGACAACGAATTGAGACTCACCACCATATACCCACACGGAATGAACCTCGAAAACGACTTTCCTCCTGCTGCCGTGAATGGGATTGACGGACTCCCAACGCAATCTAAGCGCCGTAAAGGAGCGACAATGTCACAACCGTCAAATTCTATGTTTCTTGACGGAGACGACGATGGAGGCGGTGGAAGAGAAAATTCATGTGACAGCGAAGGAATGCCACACCCCCGAGCATCCAACATTCAGATTAGAGGTGAAAATAACGACGCTTTTTATGAGGCGGAAACCGAGGCTGATACAGACCCCGATTCCCACCATCAGTACTACCACTTAATGGATGACGGCGCTTCTCTCCTTCAGGCCGTCGTCTTTGTGGAAGACGCTTTCCACTACAGGTCAATCCACCATAAAGTTGACCGCACTTCTTTGAGACTCTACCGATTCCAGTACTCTTATCTGACCACCACGGTCAGGTATGTAACCATACTTATTCTTCATATTCTAGCATTCTTTGAGTACCCTTCCTCACTTAGCTGGACTTCCAGCATTAAAACTAATTCCGAGCGTTTGGAACTACCTTGTGGGGCAACTGAATCTGTGGAGATAATATGCTTGGTAATTCTTGCAATTGATCTTGGAGTAAAGATCTTTTTGGTTGGGGGGAAGCAATTTCTGGTCAATAAGTGGATGATAGTACATGTGTTTGTTTTGCTCGTTTCTATGATTGATTGGTCAGTGTCCATGGCATTAAATTGCCACGAGTTGATCCGTGTACGTCGAATAATCCGTCCGTTTTTCATTCTGCAGCATTCATCCCTGATGAAAAAGATTGTTAACTGCTTGCGCCAGACGCTCCCAGAAGTTATAAGCATTCTTCTTCTGCTTGGGTTCCATCTGTACATTTTCACTTTGTTTGGCATGCTCATCTTTCCAAAACCCACCTCGGCCAATGACTACATCGAAAACCTTACCCATCCCAACTTAACCATCTTAAACTCCACAAAGATCCTGCCTATTATGAAAGAAGAGAGTAAATACTTCAAGACATTAAATGAGGCCTTCACAAGTATGCTGGTCTTACTGACCACTGCCAATAACCCGGATGTCATGATGCCAGCTTACAACCAAAATCGAATTTATAGCATCTACTTTGTTGTATTTCTTGTTATTGGTCTCTACTGCTTTATGAATATGTTGACTGCAGTTATCTACAACCAGTTCCGTGGCTATTTCTTAAATTCAATGCAATCGAGCCTCTTCCGTCGACGGGTGGCTACAAGAGCCGCATACGAGGTCTTGCGATGTCAGAATCACTATTCAAGTAATCTTGGTGTAGAAGCTGGAACTGTCCAAAGGGTCATTGATATGGCTGATCTGCCTACAAGTTCTAAGTATAAGATGCTGCATAAATTATCTGAGCATTCGGACTCTTACCTAAATTTCGGTCTGTTCCAGGAAATCTTTGCTATCCTTGACCGGAATTATACAATCGGAAGACAAGTTCCTGAGATTGTGTTGTTCAACAATCCAAGTCTTGCACTTATCCAGAAAGTAGTATGTCATATCTACTTTACTTACTTTGGAATGCTTGTTGCAGCTGTTAACGTAATTTTCCTGACTGTCCAGCTGAGCCTTCAATATGAGCACTCAATGGGCTCAACCCACACGTCCCAGATGACAGCTAACTTAGTGTTTATCATTTATTATGTCATTGAACAGATTCTCAAAGTTTGGGCAACAGGTTTACGCCGATATTACTTTTTTCTGGGTAATATCTATGATTCTGTAATTGCGGTTTTACTGGTTATTGTTGAAAGCATTACCCTTGTTGAGTTTGGAACGCCATTCTCAACAGAAAAGGAAAATATTAAAAGACCCTTATTTCTCTGGAACTTGATTCGTGTCACAGACCTCCTCATCGTTATTCGTCTCATCCGAGTGATCCCGTTGATCAAAACAATGGCTCTCGTCTCTAGTACCTTGCTTGATCTTGTACAGAACCTCAAAGCCTTTGCTGGGATCTTGGTAGTGATATTTTACAGTTATGCTCTTCTTGGCATGGAGTTCTTTCAGGGCACAATCCGTTACAGCCCGTCCAATGGGACCGACCTGCTGTTTAAAGATCACCAAAAATGTGGCTCGTACCAGCAGCTGGAATATTGGGCAAACAATTTTGATGATTTTGCGGCTGCCCTTATTGTCCTTTGGGATGTTATGGTAGTTAATAACTGGCAAGTTTTCTTGAATGTCTATGCTGCTGCCACTAACCAATGGTCTTATTTGTATTTTGTTGTCTGGTGGCTTTTGTCTGTGGTGATTGTGCTCAATTTATTAACAGCCCTCATCTTGGAGAACTTTATTATGAAGTGGGATAAATGCAATACTAGCATACGTGAGAGGACAGAGTCTATGGAAGAGACACACCTCCTATCACTTCATGCGATGTTCCAGCGTTCACTCCAGGAACCTGATGAAGAGAAAATGTTGTTGGAACTTCATAATCACTCCTACCTAAATTTGAACCAATTCTAATCAAAATTGTAATCTTGTTCTCATTCTAATTGCTGTATTCCTTCCTTTGTATTCATCCATAACATTTTGCATTTTTTGTTTTTTTTGCTTCATCTCATAATGATTTATTAATAGAGCTTGCTTACAAACAATGATACAGTATCTCCCCACCTTATCTGCAAGGCTATGTATTCCGAGACTTTTTCAAATGCCTCTAAATGCAGAGAGTAATGACACTTATATATACAGTTTTTCTTATCCATACATATCTATGATTAAATTTGATTTATAAATTAAGTACAGTAACAGATTAACTAATATAAAATACAAGAATATGAATATACTGAAATAAAAATTATCTGAGGGATAAAAAATGAATTCTAACAGTAGGTCTTATTAGGCACAATAAATGATTAACAACAATAACTCCTAATAAAATAGACCATTTTTAACAATATGGAGGGGATTCCTTCAATTACGACAGGTTTCTATTCTTAAAATGTGCCGTAACATGATTTTTCATGTAAGTCGAAACATAATTGTAATTTTCTATGAATAAGCTCTTACATCACTCATCCATGCAGATGTCATAGTAAAGTAATAATCTATGACATAACACATTTCTATGACATATCTTAACATAATCAGCAGTAAAAAACACATGGTGGACATATGTATGGAGGATGTATATATGAGATAAACAGCATAATTCAAAACAAGATTAATGGAGAATTCATCATAACCATGAATTGTCATATGTTAGAACTATCGTAACCTGTGGACCTCCTGAATACTGTAATAAACATTATTTGACAAATAGGAAATTCATGCTTACTGTAGATCTTATTAGTCATAAAAGGAGATAAAATTCTTATTGTGCCTAATAAAATCTATAGTATATTAATAATATCTTGCAATAAGACTTATGTAATGGATACAAAATTCATTTTTACCATAGATTTGATTCAAATTAAAAAAAAAAGTAATAATAGAACAATTATAATAATATACAATAAGAAAGGTTGTGTGACCAAATATTTGTTGTGGATCTAAGAAGGTTGCCTGAATGTTTTAAATGTTTTGCTGAAAATGAAACCTGCTACATCCACAAACATAAATTTAAGTAAAAAATCAAATGATAACAATATTCAGTTATGACAAAAAGGATATGTTTGGAACAACAAATATATTTTTTATATGCAGAATATTACAATTTTTTTTTTGTAAAGATGTGTGCGAAAGCTTGATCAGAATATTTTTAAAGAGAGAAGTTCTTGTTGCTGGTTTGGAAATGTTTTGTATGTTTGTAATGTAGTTTGGAAAATTTCATATGTACATGCATGTGTGCGTGTGTGAATATGTTTTCATAAGCGTCTGACCACACGTGGTCAAGACGCGAATCCTTTTTGCAACTAAATCTTGTAGCAAGAGAAAACAAGGAAGAGAGAGAGAGAGAGAATGAACTCGTGTCTGGTATTTATAATTGAAGTAACCACATGACAGGCTCCTGGAAAAAGAGCGGGAAAACTTGACTTGGTCATGTGCTGGAAAAAGACTTGTATACGGGTGGATTGCAATGCCCACTTGTGTGTTTATTGACCAATTAGAAGTTGAGATTTACTGAAAATATGTATGAAGCTGGCTAAGCTCTTTGATCCACTTTTTTGCACAGATTTGTACAAAATTCAATATTGATAAGAAAGTGATATCGGGATGCTGAAAGTTCTTAGAGAACTAATCTCACCATATAGTTTATTTTTTATTTTCTTATTTAGAACTTTAAATTTTTTTTTTTTTTAAAGGAAGACCTTTATGGCTTTTCTTTGGCATTTCAGAATTGCCAGCATTACAACTGTTGTACTTTGGGATCATAAGTAAGACTTATTGGAATTGGCCATGAGTAACTGAAACAGCTAATAATGGAAGGCTATTAAGTTTTATCTTTTTTTCTGTATTATTGTATGTACTCATCTCAACCAATCTTACTATTAAGCAATTGGCAAACATAGTTAAACATGTCTGCAGTAAAACAGAATGTCACCTTTTTAACAACCTTCAGACATCGATAATGTTTATTATAATAAAAAGTGATAATTAGCATTGAAATAAAACCTAAACATATGAAATTGAATTTTCTACATTTTCTTTGTTGTTGAGAATTGACAACAAAAATAATGAACACTGTTTAATTATTAGATTGTTTATTGAAATGATTAGCAAAACATCAACTAATTAGTAATTGGTTTGAACTTTATAAACTAGTAAATAATAAGGATTTCCTTATAGTTGGTTCACATATTTTCTAATTTAGTAAATGTTTATAAATTCATGAATAAAAAATTGTTTTTATGGAATGAGTAGTCATAGTTAAATGCAAAATAAGTAACAGAACTGTCTAACAAAATTGACAAAATTTGCAATAACAAGAAGAAAAAGAAAAGACAGTTTTCATATTTATTTCTTTGTAAACTGGTAAATGATAAATACTGCATTGCATTAGTTCTAGTTCTATTCATTTTTAGAATTTTGTAAATATAAAATTATTTTTGTAAATAAATGATCTAATAAATAGTGTTTAATATTTTATTGTAAATTCTCAAGAACAGAAAAATGTGTAAATTCAATTTTATCATATATTTAGGTATTATTCCCATTCTAATTATCACTTTTTTAACATTAAACATGAAGGTAGTTAAAAACAGTGGCATCATGGGAAAAACTGTCCATTTGACACTACATCTTATTACAGGCATGTTTATCCATGTTTGCCAAGGATTTAATCCCTGTTTTTTTTTTGTTTTTTTAACTGATCCCTAACTACCAAGTCTGATGTTATGATAAAATCGATAATTAAACTAACCTAATGTTGAAATTGATAACCAGCAGCACAAATATTCTAGAGAAGAAATGACCATTTGAAATTTTGGTATGAATCTCCCAAAGAGTGCAGTCTATTCATGTTCTCATAAGATCTGATAAAGCTAAAGGACTAATGTATTTCTTTTTTAAAATATATCAAGATCTTTTCATGCTTATCTATGTTTGCATCTAGCATTTTGTTTGTTTGCCTCTCTACCATTGTTGATTGTAATTTTTTTTTTTTTTTTGTGATAATTTGCTCATCCTTAGAATATAGGGACCATTATTAAGTAAAACTTTTTTTCTTTTTTTTTTTCTTTTTTATTACTGGGGTTGACTGTGGGTCACTAAAACCCCAGAAAGTGAAACTATGGATAAGGATGGGTAGACTACTGCAGTATTAAAATCACTGGCACAGCCTCATATGAATTTAACAACAGTGATTGGTATCATAAAAACCAATAAAGAAAATCTTCATTGATAAGCAAATAATTTTTAGGTTTGGAATTTGGAAGTCTTTATTACTCTGATAAGGAGACATCATTAACAGGTTAATAATAAATATATTAGTATCTATAGATAGTGAACTGTTATGTAAAATTGGTCCTTTGATATGGTAGCCATTCTTAGGTGAATGGAAACAAATGTCTACAATAAGAAGAAAAGTAACGCTAGTTTGACTACACATAGGCTACTCATACCTCGTCCATTCATACTTGCTGAAGAATGAAGATCAAACAACATGTACAACATGCCAAGTTACACACCCATTGAAACACATTTTAACTGACTGTACTTACTTAGCCTCTGTAAGATATAAATACTATAAGGAAAACATGAGAAATCTATTTGAAAATCATCATCATTCTTGACTGCCCTGTGGTTGGTTGGAACCCCATCAACAATTCCTTTCCACACTGCTCAATCCTGCATTGCCATCCCCAGATCCCCAATG